AACAGATGCTAATTCCAGCCCTACAACACTTTGTGCAGCTTGTCATCTTGGAAAACCACTTCAATACATACCATACAGGTCCTGGCTAAAGTAACAATGGAACACCCAGAGTGAGGACAACCTGAAGGTGTGCTCACACAATACCAGGAGCAACACGGACGCAGAGTCTGCCCAGGAACACAGATCTGCAGCAAAGGTACTATTTTAAGGAGCTTTATTAAACATGAAGAGCAGTCAGAACTGTGCAGTACAAGAGCTACCTCAGCCAGACACTCACAGATATCAATCAAGTTTAATTTTCTAAGTAAAAGTGTTAAACCATATTTACATTTTTGAGTGCTGATAAAGATTAATGGACCCTGAAAAAAGCACAGGCACTTTTAATGCAGCACTTCTTCCAGACTGATATATCCTGTCCCTCAAACGGGTAACATTAAAACAGCTATGCTGGTTTTGGTACCCTGTCACTGCTGCATGACATGCAGACTCGGGCTGAGTTTTGCTTCCTGGTCTACTCAGTGTGCCTTGGTAGCTGGCTGACCATCCACAGTGCTTCCCTCCCTCTCAACCGGAATTTCCTGCAACTCCCGTCAGTAGCCTTAAAATCCTTAGTCCTCTCAGGCGTGCAAAATGAAAGAGATGGAAAATGTAAATACCAGCAACCAGCATGATAGATGTCAGAATTACCAAAGGCACGGAAAACACACCTTTAGTAGCACTTGCCAAGATGACTTGCCAAGAAGAAACTTCAAACATTACAAGCACTACAATCTGTGGAATCCAACTGGCCAGAGAAAGCCTTGTGATAAAGTGAAACGTATCTTGAAGTGATTTAACTAATCTCCTAATATCAAACACACCTATGTATATGCAAAACCCTTCAATATGAAGGAAAAACAAAAAACCACAGGACTGTGTATCAGCTGCCTCATTAACAATCTCACTTTGAAGATCAATTTTAAGCTTGGGTAAATCAAAGCTTTTAGATTATCTTTCCACAAATTTTAATTTACACCTGTGCAGATGTAGGTAGGCAAGACTGGGGCAGGTTGTTTTCCACGGAAGCTGCTGATGGTGTACTAAGGGGATACAGAAGAAGTGTGCATGTCTTCACATTAATCTCCCTCATAACACAAGGAGGATAGTTAATTTTCACACCTACTTTTTCAAGTTCCTGAATTCTAGCACTTACCTACAAAGGATATTCAAATGCAGCAGAAGCAGAAGAATAACAGCATGCAAAAAGCAAAGCAGTTTAGACAGGCCTTTTACATCTGTTCAAACCCAACTTACAGTATGTTTATATGTGATATATATTTATATTTGGGATGCACAGTTCTTGCTTTCATAAGAAAATAAATTTTAATGCACAAATTATCAAGTAAACAGCTATTAAATTAAATTAGACTGAAATATCTTCCATGCTTCGGTTGAACTGATGCAGATAAAAACATTCAAAATTTCAAATACTGAAAGACATAAGCCATATAAGAAAAGCCTGAACTAAAACCTATGAGCTCACATCTCCCCAAAAGGAAAATTCACTTTTAAGGTATTTAAGGGTTATTATTAGATAATTTAAGGTATACTAAGGATTTAAAGGTATCCTGAAGTACCTACTTCATTTAATATTTTTTGACTATTGTCTTTAATAATCACAGTGAGAAATAATACAGATTCCACTGCAGACTAGAGTTCTGACAGGCTGTATGCCAAACAGTTGTAGCTTAAATAACATAAACTGCTACGTAGATGTGTCTATCTTGTCAGAGCTCAAAAGTCAAAACATCTGAAGGAATTCTGTTTTCAGAAATCTCTGGTAACAGCAAAAAAACCAGCACACACTGCTATACAGCATTATTATAGAATTAGCAACATGATGTGACAACCTCTTCCATTCAAACGATATTCTTCAGATGACCAGACCCAAAGAAATACAACATTTTGGTGATCCACACATCAGAACTACTTTCCCAGTGTTTTTTCCTGTCAAGTGAAAATCAAAAAGCATTGAACTGAGGGATGAACTGAGGAAAAAGGAGAGACTAAACTTTGGGGTTGATGCACATTTAAATGGAGAGGCAGTGAAGAGAGAAGCAAAAGCTGAAATGAGCTGCTTGGGAAATTAGTTTGTGTACTGAGTCACTACAAAACACCAGGTACTTCACATTCAGAGCTTTTCTGACTTCAGAAGCTACATTTGTGAAGAAAATACAGCAAAATACAGGTTATCCAACTCATCCAACCATGGTTTTACCATAGGCAGAGCTCCAATTATGCCTTCCATTTGAGCTCCGAAAGGGAAACGTTAAGATTAACTTTGCTACCATTGCAGAATTAGAAGGAAGTAAATTACATAGAAAGAAGGATGCACCAAAAGGGAAAAGAAAATGCCTGGGAACAGCGGTAATGGCACATATGGTAAAGAGATCAGCTGGAACAAGGGATAGCATTGATGGAAATAAGCTGTCATTCTTGAACACTTGATGACTGCAAAGGAAATTGTCTCCCCTTGTGTGCATGTGGCCATGTACATCCATGTAAATACTTTTTCTTCTTTCAAAGCTAATGCTGATGCAAACAGATTAAAGAGTAGCCAGAGAGTAAGTCTGCTGACTGATAAAACGCTTTCATCAGCTATATGAGTGGGTCTTAAAATAACAGGCCATTTTCTGTAAAACTACCAGCAATTATAAATTAAAGGCAGCACCCAGCTTCGCGACACCTCAGTCACCCTACAAAGTTCCATTTCATCCTACACAAACGCACACTGTCTCTCTGAAACAGGTGCCTGCTTCACCATTTTCATATACAGTTAGTTCCCAGAAGAAGCATTTGGTTCATGCAATAATAAACCAGCCTTAGATTTAAAATACACCAATCTCCCTTCCTTTGTCATGGGAAGCGCTACACAAGTCTCGTATATCCCCAAAAACTGAACATGAACTTTGCTGACTTTGGTTAATCTCTTAACTGTAAACTCTGGTTTATCTGTTAACCCTCTAGACACCGTGAAGTTTAGCCAGGTGATTGATTAGACAATAAAATACATGGGTTTATAAACTGGGTAAGTAACATGCAAAATTTAATAAAGAATTGTTCAAGGTAGGTAACTCCTCAAAGGGAAACCTGAGAACCCATTAAAATCCCCACACCAGAGGAAAAAAAGAAACAACAACTAAGTTTGCTGTATTTCGGTTTTGGAACGTAAATCTTTATACTTACAGCAAAATACATTTTTTATGGAATTGTGTCCTAGTAAGTCCTAGGGAGCTTTGCCATCACCTTTAACAAGGCCAGGCATTCATCTCTGTCCACATCAAGGCAGAAGGATCTGTATTTCTTAAAGGACTTGAATGGGCACAAATGGAAGTTGGGTTGGGAGGCAGATCAGAACCACCAGCTAACTTGGAGTTTTGATGCACTGCCCAGAACATCACTTTCTAAAAATAAAAACAAAATTCCCTTCTATCCTTTCAGTCAGAGAAGGCAGAAGACAGAACAGAGATCTGGCATGCCTGGATTTACATAGCTCCTTTTGTAAAGGATGTGTTCAAAGAGATAAGAGACAAAACTCGACACTTGCTGGATGGGGTCCAAATAACACAGCAGAAAGTGCAAAATACCCTTCAAAAACCTGCACAAGCCATTTCTTTGTGAGAATGGGAAAGTTTCAGTCATTCTGGTATCTCAATGCAAGTTCTATAAGCCTTCCAGCACAGCTAGAAGACAAGTCTCAAGGATTTTGGTAATTTACTTTGTTTCCCCATGGGGAAGAGAGAAGAAATAGAAGAGAACGTGTTTGAAGGAAAGACATGTTAGAAATCAAAGTGAATTCTGCTGTGGGTCTCATCCTTAGTTTATTCCACTTTCTGTCATGTTTATTATTTTACATGAGTAGATTACCCATAATTTACAGAAGGTATGCATATAATGAGGAACTTCTTATCAGAATGTAAATATTAGCTTTAGACAGGAAAAAAATATTCTTCCCTCTTGTCATTCTATGGCTTGATACTCGTTCCAGCAGCTACTACTACTCCTGTTAGCCAGAAGTAAAAGGAAACACAAGTCTGGCTGAGCTTGAACTCTGCTAATGCAAATGCACACTCTTCACATCAGCAATATTACTTTCTTCCTCTCCAAATCAAATGTCCAAGGGCACATTAGGACCTAAAAAAAAGACATCACAAAACCTCTACGGTTAGAGGTGACCAAAAGCCGCTCACTCAGCAGCGCCTTATGCACTTTGGATTTACTCTTCAGCTACAGTCCAGGGACTTGGTGACCATGGGGAATGCCCCACTGCTGCAGGGACATCTGCACGCGATGCCTTGGTCACTGGGCATCCACCATCAGAGAGAGCCAGCCTTTTGTCTCCTTCCAACTCAGCAGTCTGGAAAGAATGCCAGCTGCGCTACTTTGGCTCTCCGTACTCACTAACAAGCTCAGATTGTTACCCAGAGAAGCCCACAGCCCAGGAAAATTAATTTTGACCTGTAATATCAGACCTAAAGTGGAAGGACAAGCCAAGATTTTCCTCAGATGTAAGTACAGCTTATCATTGTCATCATTATTGGCAGACCCCAAAGGCCATAGGATCAGCTGGTATCTGCTCTGTCTCCAGCAACCCTACACTTATTTATACCAGCTGAGTATCAAGCCTTTTACATTTACACAAGGTACAGAAGCGTCAGTGAATACAGATTTCACTAAATCTTGCTTTCTAAAATATTATTCATCAACGTATAATTCAAATGGTAATTAAGAAGTGTTCACATGATTGATGACACATTTAAATTACAGGTTTCCAGCTATTTTTTTTCTGTAAAGAAAAGACAACTTCCTTTTCACGTGCCATTTAGCGAAGTGCAAGTCCATCTAACAGATGTCTCACAGATCTGCCTGTCAATGTAACAAGTTAAGACTTTTTTTTATTACGACAAATGGTATAAACCACACAGCATTCTGTTAAACTCAATATTGACACATCTGCTTACCACGTGTATTAGTAGCCATGTCAGCCACTTTCTGAAAGGCATCCAAAAAGGCAGCAGCTGCTACTACTGTAGTCCTGAAATGCATACAGATAACAAAACATTAGCAGTGTCTCATTGATGCCTATTTAATTACTGCCAAAAACATTTAGGCTTATAAAGAATAACACTGTGAACTTGCAGAGGCCACAAAAAGTATCCTCTTTTATGTCTGAATTTAGCCTTTTCCCTCCTTCATTTCTTAATCCCTTCCTTGCTTTGTGTTAGCACTATGGACTTGGAGGCAGCCACGCTAATTCCATGCTGAGAATTGCACAGGACAGGTGCTGTTTCAAAAGAGCACAGCCATCCTTCTTCTAGCTGATTTCCTCTGATGAACTAATATTAAGCAGTCAAACATGAAAAACAAATCTAACACACATTATATTGCAGCCATTAGTGTACAAATTACAGCCACTGCTATTTCAAGGGAACATGTATATTTTAAGAATAAACATGCAGGAACTTCCTTTTATCTAGTATCCTGGCCAAACAATTTCCTGAGTTTTTCATCTAGGGAGCATGAGCACCCCTTGAAAAAAAAATAGCAACTTCTTAGAAATCAGACTAGTCTGGAGTTCTTGGGCAAATGGAAAAGTGGGAAATGAATCTCCACAAAAACAAAAACAACCACAAAAACAACAATCCCCAAAATAAACATGCAAATCTCCTTTCTGTTCCAGAGCTCCTCTAAACAGGACTCTTCCCAAGAGGTACACCAGCAATCTCAGAAACTTCACAATCCAGTGTCAACCCCACTAGCCCAATCTCCCTCCACATTTGGAAAGCACACACAGACCACACATCTGTTCAAGTGGGCAGAAACGTGAGTTACAATTTTCCAAACACGTTTATTCTAGATAAGCAGGCCCCAGAGCCCTGAACACCTCAGATCAGTCCAGACTTCTGAAGGTTTATAGTCTGCTCAACCCAATTAAAGTGGAAGTAGGCCAGGGCTCTACAGGTAAAGCACAACTGTGCTCTCTCCACAGTTACCTCATGGTTCTGTTTCTGAGCATCTTTTCTAACAGTAACTCTGATTTTCTCTCCTGATGGTATCAGTCAGCCTTCCCAAGCAAAATCCAGAATGGGGACTACCAACTTCATTTTGTTTCAAGAACTCCTTGCTAGCCTCAAAAAACCTGGCAGACCTGCAGGGAAGCTGATCCGCAGCCAGAAAGACCGCAGGACTGCTTAATTAGGTCAGATTTTATGCGAGTCTCACTCCAAATATGCTCAAGATTCAGAGGACATAACTGGCAGCGTAGTAAATGGCCTACTGACAGCACAAAAGATTTGAACATACACAGAAAAAAACCACCCCAGGCGTGAGAGGACCAACCAAATGCATAAGGACTCTCCACATGCCCAGGAGATTAAAGGGCGGCCAAGAAAACCCCCGACAGCTAGCTAGCAATATTGAGCCCTGGAACCAGATAACCTTTTCTGGGATTTTCTTTAGAAGTGTTCGTGTTCTTCATCTTCCAAACTTGTGGGTCACACTGTTATTCATGTACCATGTTGTTAATTATTAATTATATTGCTAATAACAAAGTTCCATTTCTCCAGTAACAAGATCCAGGAAGACCTGGCTCCAGCTCAGATGACATCTGCTGTCCTTTATCAAAGCACACAGAAATGAAACAGAGGCAAAAGGCTCACGTTTGCTAGAAACAAACAGCAAATCCTCGAACACAGGCTTTCAAGCTGCCTGTCTGCATGTTCCTGTAGCACTGCACTGATTGAATGCAACAGCACAGGACTGGGAAATACACAAAACTGTCCCTCATGCCACCCCAGAAGGTCTGTTTTTGAAGAGTACAAAAGGCTAGGAAAGTTCTCCATTTCTCTTGTTTCTCTCCTTCCTCTGCATCTTCCATCCTCAATGTGGCATAATTGCTGGAAAAGGATAAACCACATGCAAGTGTGGCATTTTAGGCACAGTGTGGCAGAACAGCATACTCCAGCCGTTTAGGGCAAATGAGGCTAAAACCCCAGCTTCTTCAGGGGCAGTTCATAACACAACGCAGAACCACAAACCAGACTGCCAATAACCTGTTCCTGCTGCTGCTGTTGCTGGGAAAAAAACACTGCAGTTGTGGGGAGTACAGTGAATATTGTGGTTTGAGGAGAGTTGTGAAGAAATGGAACTTGTATTCAGATTAGCAAAAAAAAGTTTACAAGTGAATGAATTCTAGAGACAGCAGAATTGTTCTGAGGGTGATACTAATGGCATTTATTAAGTAATCCAGAATGCTATTTTTGAAGTATAGCCAAATAACCTAAGTTTTAATCATTACCAATACATGATCCAGCAAAGGAATTCCCTTCATTTTTAAGGCAGCAGAAAGTGCTGTTAAGACTGCCAAAGGTTTTTTAGTATTTTGAACCCTCTTCTAATATAACCCCTCTGTATTCTATGCTAAAAATAAGGGCAACATAGGGTTAACTCCAAATGTGTGCTCACTAAACAACAACAAACTATCTTTCCAATTTTCCATCAAAATCCATGAAATTTATCTCATTTTGTATTTATTACATACAGCTATTTGTACATTATGATTTTTCATAAATACATTAAAACACCAGCAGTAATGTATGAAAAATTACATACATGGGTGTTGACTATGAAATATGCACAATTTTACTAGCAAATTATCCTGGCAAAAGATGCTTTTTCTCTTAATGTTTGCACATCCAAGGAACTGTAGGGAATCTTGACTCTGTAACACAAAACTTACCGAAGCTGAGACTGCAGTTTTCCAGCTTTATTTATAAAATCTTCCCACACTGGGTAACTTCCCTGCAAGAAAAACAAAACACAATAATGAATATCTAACTTGAACATTCTGGTTTTGATACTATAGATCAAATGAAACTGCATGTAAAGCAATAACTAAGACTGTACTAAATCCTAATCCATTAACACCAAAGTAAGTTTTCGCAGCAAGTTCGCTCTCACATCCTTAGACACCAGCTCCAAGCAGATAAGATGTCAACTGGTTCCTAATCCAGATAAAACTGCAGGTCCTCTGATGAGGTTTTAGAGATTTTCCAAATGGAATCACTGGGCAAGAAGAGGTGTTTCAACTGAAGCAGCAAAAAGAAATGCCTTACTTTGGATGGATACAGCAAAACCAAATCCATTAGAAGGGGGTGCTAAGACACTGCAACATGTACACAGAAGCTCCCAAAATCAACAGCAGGATCACAATTGTTCTTCTCTACCAACTGATCTTTCTGTGTTGTTACCAGGTTGTTAGCTCTTTTTAAAAAATAAAGTAATTTTCAAAGCCTGTACCATAAAGGTTTGACTTGGCCAAGAAATGACCTCGAACACTGCCCCAAAGTAACTCAGCAATCAGACACAGAATAGGCACATGACAGCACAAGACAACAAACTTTCCCAACAGCTGCCTTGTCACTGCAAGACCTGCTTCCAAAACAGTCCTGAATGACCTTGGAGACAATTTCTGAACTGAAGCTGATAAAGCAGCGTGGCACTGAGTGTATGCAAAGTGTTTAAGAAGGTTTAATTTTTCTTGCCCTCAAGTTTCCTTTAAAACTTGCCCTGCTTTTTAAAGTTGCGTTAAAAGCCCAGACTTTTTATTTAGAATATGAACACCACATGTTCTTGAAAGTTCTGATCTTTATTTTCCAAAGTTTAAAAAAAATTAATTTTTTTAACAAAGAGGTTAACTTGGGTTAACTTGAAGAGAAAGTACAAATTTTCTACTAACAGCAGAAACTGTGGTAAAGAGAAACCTCAAAATTTCCCTTTGATTGGAGACTAGAGAGTAAAATAAATATCCCTGCTTCCCTTAATAAAGGTGTAAGACTTGCTGTTACCAGAGCAACAACACAATAAAACCCAGATAAGGCAGATCCTCAAGGCTAACATTACCCCAGCTCCGACTGAAAGAGGTTGCAAGCAAGTGCAGTTGCTTGTAGCAAACTTAATCCACCCCCATAAACTGATCTGCTTTTTACAAGTAAACTAAAATCCATTGCCCACACTGCCATGAGAGACCGTGGTTTATGTAGGGCAAAGATAGACCCTTTCCCAAAAGCTGGGAGACAAATTCCAGCTCCTCAGTACACCCCAGCAAGGCAGCTCCCAGACACTTCCCTGGGAAGTCTACTGGTACTCTATGTATTTTTCAGCAAGGCTTGTGGGTTTTTTGCTAAAAGAAAATAAAAACAAAACAAAACAAAAAACACAAACAAACCAACCAAAAACAAACAAACAAAAAAAAAGCAAACAGGTGCTCATAAAACCTCGCTATACCTACACACGATGAAGCCAGTGGGAGATGCAGATGGGGAAAGGGAAAATAGCAGTTATTTGGGTGGAAAGACCTAGAATATAAAGTGCCTTGATAAGCAAAAACCTGTCAGACATTTTAAAAATGAAACAAACCTACCAATTATTTGAAAGAGGCAAAAAATCCACTATTTCCTTAAACCCATTAGTCTTACTGCAATCCCCTACTCTGAACCCGGTCTCTCAATGACGCCTGCACCCCGTGTATGCCGTGTATGCATTATGCATGTGTATGCCAGGAGCCTTGGAAGCCCTGACAATCAACAGCAGGGCCTGAGGCTTTACTGGATTCTCCAGCAAAACGCAAGCCGGCAAGCAGAGGATACCAAAGCAGCCCGATTATGTTTCCATCTCGTCCATCTATTACCCAGCTAAACATTCCTGATGGCATGCAGGAGATTGACACCAGCTTGGCCTTTAGCTGCTTCCCAGGGAAGCTTAAGACACACTCCTATCAAAACACAGCCCAGCAATAAAAAAACCCCTTTTCTTTTTTTGTGGTCAGCCTGGCCACAAAGCAAGCAAAATTGGAAAAGTTGCCAAGCATTTCCACTATTTAGTCCTTGCCTTTAAAAATGCTGTTCTCTTCAAGGCAGGCCTGCTCAAATAAACTGTAAGAGCTCACTTGATTAAATAGTTTGCTATACTTGTTTGATTGAAATCAATGCAGTGCCTTCACCTGGGCTCTCCTATACTGGCCAAGGGCACCCGATTTCATTTTGAACAATAGAAAAATGGAGCTTTTTGCATTTTTTTAATTTCAGTGAATTAATACTTTGGGTAGTGGATTTTGTTGGGGTTCTTTTTCTGTTTGTTTTTCAATTTTTAAAGAAAACCTTTCAGCAGTCTTGCACCAATAATGAATTTCTACATTATCTGCTCAGCTTGATCTGTTTACAATTCTGAATTCTCTCCAATAAACTCTGCTGAAAATTAAGAGTAATTTATTTCATGTGGGTTCCAGAAGAACTTCCTTTTACTTTTCCATGCTGGATCCACATCCACAAGCTCATCTCTCCCTCAGGAACACACAACTGAAGTCACGCACATTAAATGTCATCCCTTTGAGCTTTCCCAAAGAACGCTTCCAAAATTACATCCCTGCTGAAACCAAAACCCCCTTTACTTCTACCTACAGCAGAAACACACATCACCTACTACTTCACAAAACCAAATAACTGGAGGTTTATTCCATCTCCAGCACCTAGGAAGCAGGGAAGCCATTTAGTGATGCTCGTGGGGACAAACCAAGGAGATGACAGGAATCAAACTAGTGCTGTAAATCTGCAGAGCTTCAGTGCCCTGGGCAGCAGCTCCAAGATCTCTTCACATGCCACCTTGAGCAGGCAGCCCAGCTGTCACTCCATGTCTCACCTCTGCATTTGCAGGATTGTTCTTGCTTTTGTCAAAGAGGTGTCAAGAGAAATGTTAACAGTGGTGGAAAATACACACTAAAAGAGCCATAAAACTTCATCCTTCATTTGATGTGTGTTAATTGCACAATTTAAACACAAAGAAACGGCAGGTGGAATTCAAAGTCTTCATACAAGAAGGGTTTTTGCAATACAAAGTCACTTATGAAGAATAATAACACAACATTTTTAAAAGCTGCCTCTCCCAGAGCTTCCTCTGCTTCCTCTACAATTTCTGATTTCAGCCAGCTGATAAATCAATTTTTCCCCTTTAAATGTCAGGGTTACTGAGGCCTGGCACTACCTTTGAAAGCAGGAGGCCTTCCCCAGCTCCAGCCCCGCTTGGAGAAGAGCCACAGCAGGATTTTGGGTCATAAATTCCCATTTAGCTCCTCATGGGTAAAACCAGAGATGGATTACAGCGAAGGTTTGTTTCAATAATCTTGAAAATTGTTAATGGATTAATCCAAGGTCTATTTCCCCCAAAATAACTTTGTGCCTGATTATTTCTTCACCATCAAATGAAGAAATCTGATGTGTCCTTCATGGAATGGGTGTTTCCCGTTGCCATAGGGCACTCCATGGCATCAGGGCCTCTGGGCAGACCACCCGGCCCGCCCAGCGAGGCATGTCACCAGTAAGCCCTAACATGCCATTATCCTCCGCCATTGCCTAATTAGTGGGTTTATAGGTGATTAGTCACCTGATCCCAGGGCCCAGCTCCCGCTGATCTAAGCTGAACACAGGCAGGGAACACCTTTCCGCCTCAGGGCTGAGAAACAAACTGGAGCCTCGTGCCTGTCGCTCAGGTAGCCAGTCCGCAATTAGGGACATGAAACAACTTCCCCCCAGGGACAGCGAGTGTCTGAAAGGCACCAGGCTGAGCTGGCAAACCACCCGCAGGTGCCAGACACCAACACCCAGACCCGACAGCACCCGGCCGGACGGCGTCCTCCCAGCCCACAGATCCTGCACTGCCACAGGGGAAGGGGGAGGACCATCATCATCCACAGAAATCCCATCCAGACTCACGGACATGGGCAGATGTGCTAATTTTGTCAGCCTTCCTCACCACTCAAATCACTTCCCCAGTTGAGTCTGGTTTGCTCGTGACAGTAATTAGTAAGATTTCCTTGTCTTTGTCTCAGTCCATGAGCTTTTTCACATTACTTCCTTCCCTGTCACCTTAAGGAGAAAGAGATAAAGAGCAGCTGGCCAAGGTCAGCCCACCAGACCAGGAAAGAACAGGCAATGATCACCAAAATGCAGCTTTCAAGAAGAACTTAAACCTTGGGTAGAATTATTTTTTTTTGTGAACCAGCAGAACCACCCTACACAAACACAACTGTACAAGACATTTATTGGAGATAGATTTTCCCCTCTCTTTCAGGCCAGCAATCCTGCAGCAGGAGTGCGATGATACCCAGATGAGAAACTTGAGGATTTCTCAATAAAGGAAGGGTTAGATTCGCAGCAAAGGATCATATTTACTGAAATTGTTATCAGTTACATCTAATGGCAAGAATAGGAATCCAGGTTTATTTAAGATTACAACCTGAGTAATCAGCAGCCTTTGACAGCTTTAAAATGTTCTGTCACTCCTTCCACCAAGAAGTCATGATTCTTCTCTTTCCGTTAAGCAAAGAGACACTCACTTTATTAATTTAGTTCCATGCACCCCAATTCCCACATATGAGATGCATCACATCTTAAAAAAACCCTTGACAGAGTTCTTTTAAGTGCTTTCATTTATCAGAAAGGCTTTTCAGAGCTATTATCAGCTCTTGCACGTACATCAAGTACAAAGGCAGCAGCAAGAGTCTGGCATCTTGTTCACAGCAACAACCCACCTAAAATTTTGGGGCAGGGGGAGAGAGACAGAGAGCTGCTCTATAGTAAAGCAAATTAAGAATCTACTTTTTTGCTGTTTCAGCTAAAGAGGCAGGAGAAAAAGGAACCAGGCAAGCAGTGCCTTGGTTTCATCTCACAGGTTATCAAAGCAAGGGATGTATGCCTTCCAGAAAAGTTCTAACAATGACTATCTGCAGACTTCAATAAAATGGAAAAAAAAACCACTACCCAGGCTACGGGAGTTAGGACTTCCCCACCTCGGTGTAGTCGTTCAGCTATGACAAGCTAAGAAGTTGAGTCCTAAACACACAGAGCTGTTACAGAGCTTCACACCCTAGTAACACATCCAAATGCCATACATCTATTTTTGGAACAAAAATTGTAACTTGGCTTCTGCTTCCTCCCACCCCTCCAAAGAAAATTACGCTGAAAACAAAAGATTTCTTTTTATAGTTTTACCAGATAACAGAATCACACAGATTATTATGAATGTCTCATTTCTGTGGCATTCACTACGCTACCTCCAAGTAGCAAAGAGACGTTATTGTGCTAGACACCACACAAAGTCACAGATG